GCTAGCAACGATGATTTAAGCTTCAGGAAACACCACGCTGTCAGAATAATCCATTAAACTTGAAATACATTCAATATATAAAAAATTACCACCATTTTCGTGAGATTTAGAATCAGTCTTCCACACTTTTACACTACTTCATTCATTTCCCAGACCGATTGGTACTACAGATGTGCTAATGTGATTAAGATATTGGTATAGAGGTGAAAACGTACAGTTTTAATGGAGGATGAACCACAGGAGTCAATATGCAGCTATTCACACGGGAAGCATTTTTGGGGAATTTCACCAGCGCAGTTTGTAATGTCATGGGTATTGTTATAAGTCGCCAAGCAACCGCTTTATCTACCGTCATCTTGGGCAGCGAATTAATGCTATCAAACTGAAAAAGGAATTAGGGACAGAGGCGAGAAAGGCAAAAAGGTTAGCAGGAGTTTTTCTAATCCTGATAAATATCCATATAAACACTTTCATAGCAACCATAAAATGTATTGATACCATAACTAGTTATGTTAACCTTTTATTATAACCAAGAGCTGACATCGCTGTCTTTCCTGGTTACGTATGTTATTTTCGCAATGCAAACCTTTATTTTTGTCACGTGTGCCGTCGCCTTATATATTTAGTGGATCGTGTCCATGTTTGTTAAATCAAAGTGATGGAGCTAGCAATAGACAGTGGTGAGTGGCACTACATTTGATGAGTCCGGTGACTGATGAGTTAAGAGCTACAAGAGTATTTGCGTTGCTCACATTACCTGGTGGTCTATCTTGGTTAACTGAGAACTTATTCAGGAGACAGTCAGCCTGCATAACAGTCTATCAATGAACTATAACAACTAAATTGTTTTTAAATTCTGAGATTTCAAGTGATTCTTGAGTTAGATTCGAGTACTGGCCTGTGAGATTGTATAGGTGGTTGGCTAAGGTTTCCCTTAAACAGCTGTCTTGTGAGATGTTCTATGATCGGAGATCGAAAACGGTCATCACATACAAAGCCACATTTTGAGCCTAGTGTTTGTAGAGCGTAGTATTTTTGCACCCCGTTGATTTAAGTTTGTCACAAGTTGAATTACACTGAGAACAAACCGGAAGTAATCCAAATGAAGTCGACTGCCCACTTCGTACATCAAACTCTTAAAAGTCAATATATGAAATTATGAGTGATGCACTTGTAAGACTACGTGTTTTAGAAACGTTTAAGTCGGTTGGATCATAAAATTTTCCTTCATTAGAGAATACCATGCTCACACATGCGACAGAATTGAGTTTGTGTCGCTTTCGACAATCTACTTCACAAGTTAAGTCAGGACTGTTGCTGGCAGTGCTAATCCATCTGCACTTCTCAGTTTTAAACTGCAAGCGGGACTTAACACACTATGGTGCAGCACTAATATAATTTCTAAATGAAGATTACTTATAAGTTAATTTGACTGATGACTGTAGTAAAAACAGAGAATACCAAGGTCACCAACTGGTGCAGATAGTCCATCCCATGTGAAACAACTACAAACACTGCTGATGTAGACTATAAATAGAAGCCAGCCGAGAGTGCTAACCTTTAAAGTCCAAGTTGTGATCTACTTAGGAACAGACTTAACCTAGGGATAATTTTGACCACTTAGGTAATGGCTTGCAAATTCCTAAAGGGTACTACTTCTGGGAGATTATGGCGTGACGACATGGCCAAATGTTTTGGATATATCGGCGCAGAGAACAACAACTAGTTTGTGTGTCACTTGGATGCTAGAGATGCAGTAGGAAAAATCAGAGGTAGATGAATCAGAGAGTCTTCAGGGGACGCTGGTGTTGAGACTCTTAAAGAGTGAATATTCAGAGAAGTGAACTTTTACGAATTTTCAGTGACTCACTGGATGATTGGGCTTGTAATAATGGCTATGTACATGCTCTTTGTCACCATATTTATAGCGAAGGATTGTGCAGGTAGCCTCCTATTCACTGGGGTGCCAATTCCAGTTGACAGAGCTGGTAACTAAAGGAGATAGAGAAGAATGTAACACTGACCACTTCTGAGGATCGCTGAAGACTGGGAGTCCATAAGCAGTAAGTGGTCTAACGTCTCTAATGGCTTCTACGTTTTCATGTTAAACGTGACAACACGACCTTGAGTTGGGCTTTATTATACTGAAATACGCCTCCCAATTACTGAGCATATCCTAAATGGTGGTTGTGCTGTTTTAGACCACCAACAAGCCGAATCTCAGCCACTCTGCTCTCAGTGGTAAATTTGCTCACCTGTGCTTGGTGGATCAGATTGCAGACAACTGCGTTTTAGGGATTGCGTGATTGTGTTTTCCTGTGATCTCTTTATACCATCGTTATTATATATTTTTATTATTTTTTTATTACAGCTTGATGTCACACCGTATTTTCAGTACAAGTATGGAATTTTCAGCATGGATATCGGCAGCCCAAAGTTTGCAGGCCGACCATAGATATCAGGTGTGCGTCGGCAGGGAATCGAACCCCGGCGAGAGTCCTAACCACTGTGCCACCGACGCATACATCCTCGAATAGCCATCAGGGTTATATCCCCACTTCCCTAGATGAAGAGGCGTTAGTATCAGCCTGGCCAACAGGTTAGGTAATTCAGGCTTGAAAGCCAGCAGACAACGTTACCAAGGCTAAGGTATAGTAGTACAGATGGCCACGTGACAATTATGTAATCCATTTCTATTCGGAACCAAACGGAGAACAAGCTCAAAGTCCTCCAAGAAGTGTAACTCACTGTCTTCCTAGATGGCTTCCATCGCTGTTATTGACTACAAGGAATATTTCGTCGCAGGGCTGGCTGTCAGTAACATCTGGCTAGCTGAACTTCGTGGGAGCGAAATCTTCCAAACTTTTTAAAATTTAACACGGGTGCAAAAGAATAACCCATTGGCACACACACTTCCGAGGTTGTCACTCTCGATATACTTAGTCCACAAGAATCTGGTCTTCGTTAAAATGTAAGTTGCCCGCAGTGAATCAGGTATTGTATTCAGTTATTTAAACCTCATTCCCCGTTACGAGATGATCCATATTGGGTGGGGACATTGTATTAGCTGTCTTTTGGAGAGTATGTTCACTCCCATAATTAAGCCGTTTTCTAAGGCTGAAGGAAATAGATTCGAAATCATACGTACTTGATTCCTGACGTTTCTTTTCTCCATCCGCCAAAAACACTGCGCAGTATTAGCAGTCTGAGTGGCGACGGTTTGAAGGTGGCAATAAATCCAGTTTGTTGTCGTTAGGGTAGTGGTGAAGTAGCGACGACTGTTAAAATGATTGCCACACTAATTGAGTTGACTGCAGAGATATCCCTCTGATTCTTGGTGGGTGCAGGTGTTATGTGAGAGAATCTAGGTGTAGTCTGCAACTAATGGGTGGAGTATTTCTCATAATATTTGGCCGCAAGGGCGCTAATTGTACTCGAGTTGGTGGTAGGACTGCTTGCTGGATGGACAGAGAAGTTGTGATAATCTCATTTTGCTGTATGATAGGAAGGAATGATATTGTGGTGTAAGCTGTCTGCAAGCAAAAATTGTAGACAACAATTTTCGTCAATATATACGTCCTGGGTCATGAAAAAACAGTAGCAAAGTTTAACCTTGAGGAACCCATCAACTAATCACAACGGACTAGCGTGCGCAAATACGATTCGCAGATGTATAGTCTGACTTTACAAGAAACGGCTACAAGTAGATGATAGAATAACCTTCGGCAGAAAAACAACCAATCAGAAGACGTTGCTTTTTTTTCTGAAAATAATGTGCATAAAACTTAATTAATATCTCCTGATTTTCTCATTAAACGATCTGTTACCCCACCCTTATATTCTACTGTTACAATATGATAGGTCCTTCATGTAAGCATTGGCACCTAACTCCCTCAGCTTTTATAATTACGCCCAGCTCGAGGAACTAATGTGTATACAGTATATATATATAAATAGGAAAGTGTGCAGTACAACTTTTCTTTCTAAAGTTCACGTGGGGTGAATTTCCTTTCTGCCCTGTTGATAAAAATGTAATTAAATTTTATAGATTTAGTTTTCCACAAGTCGAGACTGTACGTCGAATTCACAAGTAGTGCATTCAATAGTCCTGAAGTAGTGAGACATAATTTATTCTTCAAAATAATGTGAAGAATTATGATGACAATCTACTTCAGTAAGTATATTTGTTGCTGTGAAAACAGGGAAAACATTATACTTGACTAGGCTTTTCACTGTTGATTTCTCTTACTTTAAGGGAATACTAAAGTAAAAGTGCAACAGAAAACCTGTTGATTTTCTCCCGGTACCAAAACTAAGCTACCGTGGATGTTCATGTTTTTGGTGCGAATATCTGAACTGATTAAAAATGCCCATTAAAATTTTCAAAAGAATGGACACGGAACAAAGAGTACTCTTTTCGATAAATCCATCATCAGGTTCTACAATTATATACACATTATAGTAAATGAATGAATAAGTCTTATGAACGACATTAACGTTTAAATAACATCAAATCAATAATATTGATAAATTACAGCTGAACAGCATCAACATAAAATAAACTGAATGTCAGAAGAATTAGGAAAGGTAATGGTACAAATTCATGAGTTTATAGTCTCTACTGAGGGCCAGGGCAGTAGTAGAGGCTGGAATTGTTTCTTTTGGACACAGAGCGCTGGTTGTTTGAGGCGAATTGCAACAGCCTCTGCTGTTTGGAGCATGCGGTGCTTCGATGATTTTGGTAATCTATTGGGCATCCGGTAGATTATAGAGAAGGATTCTTCCTCGCTGGCTTTGTGACCGGTTTGCACCAGGTGGTTTAATATCGAGCTGTTAATAGTTTTAACTACACCTTAACTTAGCCATAGTGGGGTGTGTTCTCAAGTGAGTATGAAAAATCAAGTTCCTAGAGCAACGGCAATTTCGACCATATGATAAGTAGTCATTATCGTAAACCAGAAGCAAAAACGTACTAGATTTATTTTTTTCGTCAGTTTAAGCATCTGTTCGATGTAATGGTAGTGTTTACGTTATCGTCCTATGATAGCTGGTTCAGCAGGTCTTTACTCACATCCCCTTATGGCATTGGACATTGTTCCTTCCCACACAAACTAGCGCCAATTTCAAACTCAAGTGACCTTGACGTTTTACTTTTCCGGCATTTACATGGGAATTAGGATTGTGCATAACTGAGAATTATTATCGGAAGTAAGTTCTTTTTGAAGCGACTACCACATTTCTTCTTTATGGATAAAAAAATCTATTTTGGTATCACTGGAGAAGTAAACCTAAGTGTTCACTCGTAATTAATTTCTTTCATGTTTAAACAGTTTACTTATGGAGTAGATTTCATGGCATTCAATTCATAATAAGTTAGACGGATATGCGTAAATAGATTGTTATTATAACGTGCATGTGGCCGAAGATTAAGGTCCTGTAATTGAAGTCACAAACCCAGTCGGTTAATGCACGTGGGCAATGTGGGCAAAACATGGGATAAACGGGTAGTTTTGATGGGCAAAAAGGTGGGCAAAAGATGGTGTAAATGCAACCAATTTTACCCACTTTGCCCACATAACCCATTTTCTCCCCTTTTGCCCATATGCGTAGAGATTTTTTCTCCCACTTTTGCCTTGTTTTCCCACGTGACCCACGTTGAAAATAGCCCACGATTACCCACTTTGCCCATGTCATTTTTGAAAATAGCCCACGATTACCCACTTTGCCCATGTCATTTTTGAAAATAGCCCACGATTACCCACTTTGCCCATGTCATTTTTGAAAATAGCCCACTTCTTCCCACTTTACCCATGTTACAAACGACAAAGTGCCCACGTTTTTACCCACATATCCCAGGTCCAAAAAAAAATTAACCGACTGGGAACAGTTGTGCTAAATTAAAAAAGTCAAGGTCTGATAGGGCAAAATGAGTTTCACCTCCGTAATTTTGTGTCTGGGCTATTATCGTTCATGGCTTACTTTTTATTAATGGTGTGAGATTCACCGTCGGTTTGGGCTACATGGGGGTTGTAAACTCATAATAAAGGTTTTTGTATTCCCCTTTGAATGAAAAACGGTCTGATTGGGGCCCTCAAGACGCTATAAACTAATTGCTTGAGACTACTAGTGATATGGCTCAAAATCGAGTCTTTGGCGCAGATGTCCCCACTGTTTATAATCTCACAGGCCCACCTTCATTATTTTCCATACAATTCTTTCCCCTGTACATTTATGAAGTGTAGTTGTTTTTAGGGCGTAGTTAAACCATAACAGCCGCCCACTTAAATGACATTCGACAAATAATTGGGGTTTCAGGTTGTGAAATCACATCCGCTTCTGCCTCCTATTCTGAATTTCCTTGACGCGCTTCAGGAAGGCAGTGTTTGATTACTGTTGAACACTGAATTATTTAGAGTTACTAAAATATGCATGTGGGGGGGAGGAGCTTGACAGAATAACTGATCTTCTGAGGAGAGATTAGAAAACAGAGTAAGAAGTATAAATGAATGCCAAAACTTGCGATACACAGTCATCTTTTTAACAGTTTTCGACTTTTATCGCTCCTTAATTCAGATTTTTAGTCAGATTTTCAGTCAGTGGTAATGTCAATCGCAGCTGGCTGCTGTAGTTTTACTTCGACCCGTGGTACTTATGAATATAAAGCAGTAAATGTTTTTACATTGACGAGTCCGTTGATCATTTAACATGCAAATTCACTTGCCTCAAGTTGTAAATTACGTAGTGTGGGCAATTTCGGAGCACTACAGTAAACCGTCGCTTTGGATCTATTTCAAATGGTTCTTTTTCACTTAATTTATCAGTTTTGGATAACAGCGAGGTGTCACTTTTACTAACTCAGGACTTTACATCTTGTTTTATGGCATGTCAAAGAATTTTGAAGTTGCTGCCAATTATATACTAAAAGTCGATTCCCATCACGTTGATTGCCATACAGACAAGACTCAAGTATAAGACTTGAAATCTCTTTCAGCGACAATAATTCTCCCTTTTCCGGACTTCGGGGTTGTCTAATTGGTAAATTCGTTTTTGGTGTACTTTAGTGTAGCACATCAGTGTACGTAGTCATTAAAAGCAGCTTATGTTGTGATAGTGCAATATTAATGCATTGGAACGCATGTATAGAATGACGGTGTTAATACAAACCGTACAGCTGGACAGTGATAAGTCGCACTAAGCGGAGAAAACAGCACAATGTTAGTACTGGGTATACTGTTTGTACAGATGACTTCGGTCATCTATCAATTTCCCCTGTTTTCCAAGAAAACATTAAATTAACTTTTTATCATGTAACACAATTTCATAGTAAAAACTATCAGTTACATCAGTCTCAAACTTTATTGTGTTTCACATCTTTCTGGAGGTACATCCTCTTTCTAACAATAAATGCTAAACATATTTTGGCTCGTTTGTTAGGCAGCATGGCTGTAACCAATTGTTTCAGAAAAATGAATAATTTCAAAAGTCTAGTTGACAAACATAACAAGGCCCAAAAATAGTTGCAATAACTGGAAATGCAGTGACAATAAGGCGTAATTGTTAAGCGCAGTTTTACAGGTAGCGTTCATCCCATCACCCCTAAATAGGTAGTTGACAGTGTATCGATCTTAAACTCATATAAGTAGACTCAAGCAAATCATCTTTTTCACATACCATTCAGACTCCCATTCAGTCTGACAAACAAGCGTTGAATTTTGCACGAAATTGCAGTCTCAAGTTATCACAGTTCCTAACAGTGATAAAAGACAGATTCGAAGTAATTTTTTTTTATATCAAATGGATGGGAAAGTTCCAGAACAATTTCTGGTTAGGGGTTGAATTAATAAAAATTACAATTAGGAATTAGAATGCCATAATAAACAGGGGGATGGGTAAAACTAAAACAAAGTAGCATAATAACTAAGAAAATTGACATTGTGCAATTGGGGTTAGAAATGTAAAAATAACAAAATATACAGGATGTTTGGATAAGAAACTAGTGTGATGAATAATTGTTTTAATAAAAATTACAATTAGGAATTAGAATGCCATAATAAACAGGGGGATGGGTAAAACTAAAACAAAGTAGCATATTCCCTATGATCAAATGTGTATATTCCGTGAAGTAATTTTTAATTAGATAGGAAGGATCCCAATGCAAGAATGAGTAAATAACTGTTTTAATGTTGGATGTTGAATAAGTCTGATTTTCACTTGATTCTGATGTTTGAGGAGTTAGGTGATATAAAAAGTAAAAGTGATGTAGTACTGGCAGGTATAACTGCAGTTGTCTGGACTTCGTGAGCAAGACAGTGTTCAGCATGTGCTTCGGTTAGATGGATAACATTACAGAACTGGTTTACCTAAGAATGGGGAGTAAAGTGGTCGATTGCGGTAGCTGCTTCACCTATGTGAGATGTTATGTCAGCTGTAGTAGGCTGCTGGCTGATGGAAAATTAGCGCATGTTCGTTTGGCGTTCTCCAGCTTTATCTTCGTTAGTGATTGGATGCCAGGCTACCTATAAAGAACAAGCGTATCACGTTGTAGTCCAGCTTGTTCTGTCCTACTTTACTGCAGTGAGCCGTAGCTTCATCCAGCCAGTCATGTGGATTGGAAAGGAAAAAAATAGGTTATGTTGGTATTACACATAGTGTTAGATAAGTAAGGTAAGTTAACCGAGAAGGTTGTCAGTCTTTTCCGACTACAATAGCTGGAACATGAATTATACATATCCAGCCACCAGCTTAATGGAAGAGGAATGCTTAGCGAAGTAGAATCTAGTTGAAAACAAATTAGAAGTGATACGATCTAAACATATAGTGTGTGGTCTAAACAGTAGTGTAGGTTCTCTAGTTTGGGTCACCTGTGAAAACTCTTGACATGACTGGAAACCGTTCAAGGTGATACTGATATATTTATCCTTTATCATAGGGAATAAAAAGACAGTTGCAGCGAAGAAAATTTTCTTTTCGACGAAGTCATCATCTAGGCTGTACATTCGTGTATTTATATCAAATGGATGAGAAAGTTCCAGAAAAACTTCCGGTTAAGGGTCAAATTAATAAAAATTACAATCAGGAATTAGAATGCCATAATAAACAGGGGGATGGGTAAAACTAAAACAAAGTAGCATAATAACTAAGAAGATTGACATTCTGCAGCCTAGATGACTTCGTCGAAAAGGAAATTTTCTTCGCTGCAACTGTCTTTTTATCCTTTGTCGTAATTGGTGTCAGTTACGTGGCATAGATTTGTCATTTGTCACGCCACGGACCACAGTTGTATGATGAATGGTGGTACTACCAAGTAGTCCAATCTGCAGTAAGTGGAGTGGGATTGGGATTCTGAACCCGTTAGGTGGAAGTTAAAATCACTAAGGATTTTTGAGTTTTTCCATTTTTTTTTCCTACACATCTATCTTCTACTGTATCACGCATTATTTTTTCTCATATTATTTATACACATTGAAACTTAAACTAATACATTTCTGTGCAAAGTTATACGCTGACCTGTTAGTCAGTGTGTCGGTGATCTCCACCATCAGATTTCTACTATCAAATTCATCTCAATGAAAACTTCGTGGTCTCGTTGCACTATCATCCGTAGCTTCCTTGCAGTTCACAAATACTTTAGCTAACACTGTGCATTGAGCACGTTGTCGACTTTACATGTTCATGTTCGCAATCGTATTCTTCGATCCTCACATACTAACTTGTTTTTCCCTGTCTAAACTCATTATTACTCACTGAGATTCTGTCACACATATGAACTGTCATAAGGGTACAATTAAAAACCTCTGTTTGTGGTTATTAATAATAAATTATTTATGGGGCAGAATAATTGAAGAACTAGTCAGTTGTTAGGAATTTAAGGCATTTTTTATCAGGCTGGTGTGAACTTTTGATCAACCTAGTTTATAAGATAAGCGATAAATCCTCCGTTGCCTTCGTGGCAGTCACCATATATTTTGACCTGGAGCCAACATTTTGTCCAGTCGATTAACAAGCATTGTGATAATGTCTAGCTGTCAAGTAAGCACTGAAAAGATTCATCTTACCGATAGAGGTGCTCTGCTCGAACTCATTTGCTTACTTTATTTTTACTAAGAAACCGACTTTCTATAATCAAACGGAAACGGCACCTGTTTTTAAAGTTTACCTTATCATCTAAGGTGTTTGAAGAAAAATTGGCCTTTAGAGAAAAGAGATTGGTTAAGTGGATTTTGGCTTATTCTTTTTGAAAATTTGATTATGCTCATGCTTCATTTCATATTATTGTCCCTACTTGATTACGGTTACGAGAACCCTCGTTAGGAACATACTTGCATTTAGCTACTATCATTGTTTTTCCTGAAAGTCGTTTTGAAGGCAATCCGACCCTGAAAGTGTCGGTCTGTTATCATCCTTAAATGTCATATATATATATATATATATATATATATATATATATATATATATATATGTATATATATATCTGTGAACCTCATTAAACATTTTGGTTTTCAGGTCATTCAGATCTTGTGATTAATTTTGAATGGCAATATGGATGCAACGAAGGTTAACACCCGTTTATTGCAGTATGATGGAGTTTGTCAGGATTCACAATTATCAAAACCGATGGAAAGGAAGGTAATTTGTGACTTTAACGCAAAACACACTTCTTATCAAATACAGCTAGATTCAGTAAACAATATTCCTCTTGGTTCAGTAATGCCTCATCAATTAACTAATTCATCGGTTGATACGCCTCCAATTTCTTCAGTCTATCTTGAACAAGGAGAATACTTTTTTGACGATGAGTTCGCAGAGCCAGAGGATTCACATTCACATGAAAATGGGGATGATGCCATTAGATATACATTAATGGTACAGTCAGTAGATTGCGATCGGAAACCTTTACCGGATGTAGTTGGTCAGTTTCGTTCTGATTCTTGCATATTCAGTCCAGTCAATTCAAGAGAAAGTAATCTTAGTAGTTCTAAAGTTCCTGGGACTCATTCAGTTGACAGCAGTAATTATGAGAAAGACGATGCAGTATCGAAAGATGCTGATTGTAAAAATCTTAACTCAAAGACAAGATTCCATCATCCCTCGTCTAGGAAAGCGAATGGAGTAGACGAAGGGCACGCAAATGAATCTGAAAGTTCAGTTCAATGTAGTGCGTCAGGTTCTACAAGTTGGATGAACATGCTTATGGAACGTTCTTGCAATCCTGAACTTCGGGCTCTGATCAACAGAACTGCTGCAGCCGTCGATTACAAACTTGCGTATGGTGATTCTATTGCATTTCAACGTCAGCTTGAAGATAGATCAACTGAATCATTAAAATGTAATGTGTCAGATTTAGGACCAGACAATCGTTCACTGAGCCAGGGGAATCTCTTAACTGCTACTAGTTTGGCAGGTTTACGTCACGCTTTAGACCAAACCACTCAAGTACTGCCTAAATATGTCGCACGAAATCCTGAATTGTGTTCTGTTGGAGTTTCTGCTGACCTGATCTCTGATACGATGACTGTGTCCCATAAAAATAAAGATTCTAGTGAGACGACAACTTCAAACACAACAACTTGGGCTAAAAAGCATGGCAGTCGAGAAAGTCTGAAGAGAAGATCTCTTAGACCAACTGACCTGACTGTCTTTCCATATCCTAATGTCGATAAGAATAGTGAAGCTGAAAATGATAATAAAACAACTTGGCAAAGTATCAAAGAGGCTAATGGAGCTTTAATAACATGGAATCAACTTAAACGAGTGGTCAAACGAGCCGAGAGTCTTGGCAAGTCATCTAGTGTCCGTGAAAGCCGCCGAGACCAACATGATCCGAATGGTGTTTTGATTTCTAAACAAGCTATGACTAGTTCAGTTAAAAATCGTTCACATTCCCAACCCATATCCGGTGCTTGCCATATGCATCGCTTCTCAGGAACATTGTTAGAAATATTTATGCGTGCTAGAGCTCGAGGTACATCATCCTTCGGTGATGGTTCTGTTACAGACTTGAATGGATCTTTACATAAAGATAACTCAAATTCTGCTTATTCAAATCCTGCTTATTTAATAAATCAAGGTTATGAACGGGCAGACATGGTTATGAATAGGCGAAATTGTCAACCAGGAGTAACCAATTCACCACGTATTTCAGGCAACAGAAAATCTTGTTTGTTCGATGGAATAGACCCACGAAGATCAGTTAATGAAAATGACAAGTATCTGCTACTACGCAGGGACAAGATTTTGCCGAATAAGGGTAATATCCAGTTTTCACCCTTGTACACTAGTGCTGACGCTGTTGCTCGTTCTATGCGTAACTTTGGAGCCCAGTTTCCTCCTTTAGATGATTCCAGAGAAATATCGTGCAAAGCTCCCTTTAATGGTCAGCAAAAACCTGAGAATAATCAAAATACTTTTCCAATCTGGTCAACGAAACTGCCACTACGTAATGGGAATTCTGTTGCATATACTAACTATTACACTACAGTCCGTCATAGCCATCCACAACCACTTTATTTGAACAGACCATTGTCTGCCCTTCAGGGTCAGTCGAACTCCAAGAGAAATGTTAATACCAATGCTCAACAGTCTTCATCTCCAGTTGAAACCCCTACTATTGCGGCTTGTCTTACAGCGTCTGCTGGACCAGATTCACCATACATGGCAGCACTACGAGCTGGATGTGCTGCCAGAGGTTATGCTGTTGGTTGGATTGGAAATCCACGTGCTTCGATTGCTTATCCAGGTTTAGGTCTTTTGTCAATTCCTCGTCCATCAAGATTAGCTGGGTCTGCATTCCTTTCTCATACCTTACCTGACTTGTCATTTTTAACCCAAGCTGGAGTTGAAGAGGATCGTAAGGGTACACCAACTATGTCTAAGCGTCGAGCATCTTGTCTGTCAAATACTCAGACGAAGAAAAACTGCACTTGTACAAAATGTGGCTGTCGATCTATTTCAGCCGGTCGTGTTTCTTCCAAAAACATGTGTTCAGATAGGTCATCGAAATCACTGGCAACTAAAGGTGCATCTGGGACAGCAAAGAATCCACCTGATCATAATAATACATCTTCATCAGATATGAATGCACCTGATGTTGTACCTTCTTCAATTGGACAAAATTCAAGTAATAGAAGTAATCCTTCAGAAATGCAGAAAGAAGTCCCAAGTCAAGTGAGTTTCGTTGTTTAGTGTAGCTTCTTTTGCATACACTTCTATTTTAGAGTTATACATTCATATTATATTGAAATCTTCCATACAATAATATTTCCAAGTGACCTTTTATTAATTAGCTTTCTAAAATTGGCTGCAGAGTTCACTGAATCGATAACTTCTCATTTTCATATTTTATTCACCATTTGATTACATAAACTAGATTTTTAGATTTGGTGGCTAGCAGTGGAGTTCAGGATGTGGGTTTCGTCCCATTTAAGACTCACCAACAGGATGAACATGCACTTCAGTGAGTGATGCTGTTCCAACTTAAAGTCACACCCAGCATCCATAGGTGTAAGCGTTAAAGTGTTATCCAGTAGGCTACTTAATCACCAGAGCCAACTTTTTTGCAACAGACCAGTTGATTGCTTTTATTAGACGACACACCCTTCCTGGATTCCACCGTTAGCCTCTATCAACCGAATAGCATCATGGTAACCTCGAAGCATCATTGACGCGTTCATTTTAGGGGCCTATTTTTCACCAGAGACCAAGCATTTTGGTCCAGTATAATCAATCAACAGGGAATTCAAAGTAGTTTCAACGATGGTTTCTGGTTTATCACAGATAGTCATCCAAATAAATGTTTAGTCACTGGGATAATAAAAATATAGATAAGAATCACAATTTCTCTTATCTAATTAAAAACGTGACATTCACCACCTGCAGTAATTTTTCCATATTAAGGATTGACTAGGTTTTTTATGTGCTTTATTTATGACTGTTGTCATGTTTACTGTGTTATTTTTTAAAATTACATTGTGCTGTGTTGTTCACGTCATATGTGGAAACGTGGTACATGGATCTACTAATTTAACTTTTTAGTAGTGAGCCATGAATTCAGACGTCATTCTACTTAATCTGGTTTGGTCGTCGATTGCATAACAGCCATCTTTGTGCATATACATACGTTTGTGTAACAATTAAGAATAAAGTTCTGTATATCAAATACTCGAACATTCGTTAACCAAAGGGTGAAAACATGGGTTGGACAGTTGGTGATATTGGTTGTTACATCCTACTTGTTATGACATATTTCTAGATGTCTGTGTTTATTTGCATATCTTTTAGTTTGACATACCATTATAGGCTAACTCAATGAATAAGTCGGTATATAAGTAATAGGACAGCTTATTTGTGTGTCTGATGAGCTTGAATTTCAAGTGTAATTAGTTATTGGGGATTGTTATTATTATCATTAAACCGCAAATTTGGTACATTATATAAGCATCAAAAGATGTGGTACACAAAATCTCATAGTTTGTGCGAGGACTGGGATGCTGTCCCGACGCCCAAGCCGAAGCGGGTGCTTGTCTCATGGAGCCACCCTCTGAGCCTTTGAATTGGAGACTGATTCCATATTAGTTGGTTGATTAGATGTATCACACAGTGAAACAGTATTATTTACTGAATGACGTTTCACTGTGTGATGCATTTAATAAACAAACTAATATGGAATTACTTCCTACCACAGTGCCCAAGTTTTACACATATATTGAAGACTGATTCACAAGGCAGTGGAGCAGAGTCAGGAGCTATGTCCCCATGATATCTGGTGACCCCGCCAGATTCATACGCCATTCGATTCTGTCGGATTCTGGAGCTCACGTACACCATAGGTTTGGAATCAGGGTTTTCCATCTCGCCTGAGTAAACCAGAATGTCTACCAGTTTGGTTGTAAGCACCAGATTTCCTCATTCGATGTTCCACTTTGGTGAGGAACATCCTGGCCTTGTGAAGGCATGAAATAGGACTTAACTGGCAGAGGCTATGATTGCTTACACATATGAGGGCATTTCGAGAGGAAGGCGAAAGTCTTCCTACTTTCGGCGGTACCAGGTCGTTTCGGGGGGGGGGGCGGTTGGTAATGATGAAAGCCTCTGATTATTCTAAAGCTCGTCAGGTGAAGTATTATACTGCATGTAGTACATATACTCACATACGCAACTGAACTGTAGTATACTGCAAACTTGTGTGATATCTAGAACCAAGCTGTGTTGTAAATTGATGATATTTATCAAAGTTTCAGCTTTATTTCTAGTGTCTTATTTTAATGTTCTTGTAGTTACAATGTCCTGAAGCTGTTGAGCGATCATCATCTGAACCTGACTTAAGTGGTGCAGTTCCTAGTAAAAATAGTCAACTAATGTATGGATCTGTGGACAGTAGTTCCTATTGGGCTTGCTCTACTTCACAATCTCAGAAAGATCAAATTAATTCCGATAAAAACCGTGGGGACAATACAGTGGCGTCAGGGAATAATGGCTTCAGTTTAAATTCCCGACCGAAGAAGAGTGTCAGTTTCAACGGTAATATTCGTTTGTTACAGTTGAATTCAAAAGATTCTTACAATCACTACAGTGATTCATCGGCACAACCATCACCTGAACCTAAAGGTTAGTTATGCACTCTAGTTATAAATCACTTGACTTCTTAGTTTGTTTATTTACTATGATCGCTTAATTATGAGTAACTAGCAGTATTCTAATCCCTCTTGTTAAATTTCATCCATATTTTTGCATATGCCCTTTAACAAGGTTCATTATTTCTAATTCAAAGAGTAGAGAGAAAGTTATTATCTGATGGTGTATCTCGTTTCCCTGAATGAGCTCCTAGCAGACTCACCCTTGGCAGACTAGACCTTAAGGAAACAATAAATCTTGTCATCCCAAACCAGTATCCCGAGATGGCTTTACATGTTGATAAACGATTTCCGCCTTGTGCAAACATATACCATCGGACCTCAGTAGTTATGTAGTGATTAGATTTAATAATTTATATGGATACAGTGATCATCAAACTCACAGAGTCGCCACACATCCTTAATATAAAGGGGACGAGTTTCACGGACTTAGAGGGGAACTGATTTTAAAACTGGACAGTCATCAACCAAAGTAAGTTGTCTACGGCGCAATAAATGATCCAGGTTGGGGTATACCGCTGTGACCTTTAGAGTTAAGAATTTTCTTCGTCACGCCTCAGTCGTAGCTCAGGTAACCACTTAGGCGTACCAACCTTTTACTACTTCCAGCGGTTCAGGTGTGAGAATAAGTGTGTGTGCGTAGGGGGGGGTAAGGTGCTGTCTACCTTACAGACTGGCTTATCAGCAGTTCAAGTCGCCATACTTTGGGGGAAGCCCACAAATAAAAATGGACGTATACAGACAGCGGAGAGACTAATTAGATGCAGTTTAATTGATAATTTCAGGCACTGGATGATGATAATAAAGAACGAAAGCATCCGCGCCATGATGAATGATTTTGAGTCCGTCATCAACCATTAATTCTCGGCATCTCAAGAACCCCAGACAGTTTACACCTCTACACATGGCTCAAACTGACAATCAGAGGCTTTATGGGTTGGTGCCGTGTTTTCGCATAACCACTTATAACATTTTTTTAACTTAGCCCTTTTTTGCTAATACTGCTCGTCGGTAATAGCTAGATATGCCTAATACATGCCATTTCAATCAATGGAACTTTTCTACTCTACTTACCTGGCTGACCATACCGCACCACCGAAGGTAAACACAGATACCTGTTGTCAAAACCCGCTAACCTTCCACCTTCATCAGCGATTTTGAACGGCTGTACAGTAGGTTTCAGTGAACTGTTGTACATTACAAAAGTTCTTCGGCTGTTTTAAATATGTGTAGTGTGATGATATATTTGTAGTTTAACTGTTTACTCCTCTCTTCATTCTGATCACCGATTCTTCCATTTCTATCCTATGATCATTATATATTATTATCTTTCTTGTGTTATATATATTTCGACAGTAATTCCACGAAATTGGGGTTTATATGGACAAGAACAACCACTGGCTGAATTCAATCCCCGATGTAGCCCAAGTTTAGAAAGTGAAAAAAATGGAAAATTAATTCGTCATTCTGATGTTGATGTCAGATATCATGGTTAGTTTATTTTAACACTTATCGTCTGTTAATATAGGTAGCTTTTATTCTTTATTATTTAGTAGGTAGTGATCAAAGGTAGAGTGAAAATTTGAATGCTCTCTGAATTGTACCAACAGCCTCAGGATTGTTGGTTTATCAGTTACAATGGAGTCATGAGGCCCAGCAGCTAAATAACCCTGATTTCCTTCCAGCTGTTTGTAGCTACTGAGATAGCCTCAATAACCATTTTTTTTGTTTTCTTCCTTGTTAAGTTGGGTAACGACACAGCAGACTGGCGTGATAATTATGGACAACAGACTTGTTAAGTTGTAAGCCTTTCCCTACTTTCTACTAGTTAACATGCTCAAATTACCCGATATTATTATTACACGATGCTTAGCTTTCGATAAGTTTATGAACATCCTGTTGAGGTATCCAGTTTGGAAGAGTTTCTCTGAGTTGAGGGATGATATATCCTTCCCTACCACTTCGATGGCACAGTTACAATTTATTTCCCTTGGAATAAAAAACAGTTTCTATGCTCTGTCTCATTATGGAAGCATCAATGCAGGGAATGTCACTAAATATATAATGGTGTGACAGTTTCATTTTGGTTACCTGATTACCTATTTTAGTGACTCATTGAATAGAAAAAGTCATTCCACTCTAGCATACGTATATCTGTAGCTGTTTGTCAAGTGACATTTTGTTGATGCATATATAAACCTTAATGGATTTTTAACTTTTATATTTTGCTGCTATACTAAAGCTTTTGTATGATCCTAAAATTATGTTTCCCTCTTATTCGCTGATGCTTGCTTGTCTGCATTCTCTCTCCTCGTCCCCACCCACCCCTACCTGCCCGTATATTAGATGTCATATCCTGTCTCTCATATATATATTCGAATCAAAACTAATCTTTCTTTCTGCCCTCTACATTATAATCGAACTATTTTTCTTTGTTTATTATGACTTCGTTTTGTAATTTATTACTGTTTATAATAAACAGTCGTCATTTTACTTATTTCCTAGAACATATATAATAATATCTAATCTAGAGTCGCCTGTCTTAAAATCTGCAATTTTGAAATGTCAAGAAAAGACATGAGGTGTTAGTTACTTTCTTTCAAAAAAAGAACAAGACTACTATAGATTGTTTACCTGTCTTTTGCATTCTTCATCATATTTATATTCTTTTGGAATTCATCGCTTTCTCGTGTTTTCAATGTCTCTAAAGACTTTAGCAATTGAATTCAAGCCTTAGTAAGTCCATTCATAAACTGTTTAAATCAGGATCAAGTTAGAAGTCTACATAATATACAGTTGTAGGTTAGTTGACGATGGTGACAGTATTAGGTAAGAATGAAATAATGGAATTTTACTGCAGTTCATTTTAGAAACTATAAAGAGCATTAGCACTGTAAGCATAACAATCTCTCTGGCTGAAACGATTTTCTGATGCTCACTAGCGACTGGTCCTATTCAGGTAGTTAACCTGGGGTTCCAGTGGGAAGCCGTACAGCAGGTTGAAGATGAGGCAGTAACTCATCGAAGAAGACATTGCGAAATGGTCGCGCTATGTCGTGAATTGGCAGAAGTTGGAATTCATGGACTACTGGATCAGGTCCCAGTTGCTTAGTGGTCTACGAGCTTGCTAGCCTTGTAACCAGAAGGTCCCGGGTTAGAACCTCAGTGGATGTGTACTGTTGGAGAGTCCCAAACTAGGACAGAGGAAACAGATGTCTAGTACTCTATGTAGGTTTTCCAGTGGTTCTCTAACTGATGTCAGCTCATGATGAAATCCTTCGTGCAGTCAAACAAAATCCCTACAAAACCAATACTTAAAATGATTTTCTCCAGTTATATCAAAGTGGCTTAAGCGTTTTATTGCTCTCCCAGTTCAATTAAAATCAAGCTAAATCATCAATGTGTCTAGATTGATTTGGTCTATGAAGTTTGGTCATTCATATACCTAGAAACCTACTTTGAGATCATTTGTGATGTATAAGGTCTTCGACTAGGGTTTTTGAACTTATCATAATTATTTTATTCTTGTTGACTTTATATCTGCTTGTGGTAATGCCTTCTAGCTGGAGAAGTTTTTCACACTTGATTCCATTATCACGTTTCCATTAGATATAATTATTTCATAAATAAATAATAGCTTTATTCTGAAAAATGCGTTCAAACACAATATAGAATTTTGAACAAGTCTCATTACAAGGGATTTGCTTCTTGCGTAGAAACTTCAATTAATATAATAATCGATAATCCATCCATTCAAAGTATGCTCCACTGGTTCCTCCCTCCATTTCCTTAGAAAAAACTCCCTATCGATAGGTAGAAACTTATTTGAAATTGTGCCTAAGTATAGATTGTGACTCATTGTAGTAATTAGACGATTTAAACAATTTTGAAACAGAGTAATAACAATGCATTTTGATGGATAGGAAATTTAGGTAGCGCGGTGATTTAAACAGGCCGCTGCAGGAGTAATATTATTAGGATAAGATTAAATCGTGATTAGATATACATTCGGTATAGGCTTTTCTATATATTCTGAGGTCAGTACTACCATTTTTCTATTAATTCAGTTAAGATCTCTGTCTCTCTCCAGTGTAGTTAACGTAACTGAAATATTCATAATATCCACTGTCTTCAAAGTCTAGTAGTTGATATTTATTATTATTATTATTATATAGGCTTTGTTGTTTCTTTTATGTGTAATAGTGTGTCATATGTTCTGTCGTTGAAATGAAAACATCTGAAAGCTATTCATCGTCTTAAAAGAAACTGAATATGTCTGATTTTATGACCTGATTGCAGAATATTATTATTATTATTATTCATGTCTAATTATGTCTGAAAGGCTGTACACACTGTCTACACTTTATGTATGCATATTTGTGTGTATTATGAAGTCACCTAAAGTATATCTCTGTTAATTGTTTGTTCTTCCACTTTATTTTTCTTCTTACAGACATTTTGAGTAGTTTTTCAAAATGCTGTTTAATTAAGATCTTTTTAAGTTGTGTATAAGCTATGTAAAGCTTCGGCTTCCATTTCATTAGTTGGAAGGAATGAAGTTTGTTTAAATCAGCGTCAAATTGACAAAGTGGTAAAAAATTGGTCGTTTTAGTTTACCTTTAGGTTCCGAGTGGAGCATAGAACTTCAGCAGCACATTTCCGCTTGACTCTGTCCTCTGCATCCCTTTTTAACTGGCTCCACTATTGCCCATAGGCTTTCATCTCCTCTTCATTCGATTTCTTCCATGTTACTCTCGAGGAGACGCTTAACCAATGGTCACTCATTCGGGTTCCACTCGACAACCCGACTAGCGCACGATGTCAATCACTGGTCTCCTCAGATTATGTTCGATTCATCTCCATCTTCTTTGGCATATTTGTTTGGCGATAAGATATTGGTCGGTTTGCTGCACTGTCAGAGTTCCTTAATAATAATATCATTTCTGTCCATCTCATCTTCAGCATTCAACTAGAGAAGGCAGCTGTGTTGATAAAAGTCTGCAGCTTGTCGGAAGTGCTTTTGGTAATGAGCACGTCAAGTCTCTGAACCATATAGCAGCACTGACTTGAAATTGGTGTTGAATATCCGAATCCTGTTCTCTATGCTTATTGCACTAGATTTCCACGCTGATTTTGGATCAATGAAGGTATGATATCCTTCACCTGTGCTGCATGAAACACCATTGCCTAGACAAGTAAAAGAGGTATCTTCCTTCAGATTTTTCACTTTGTGCATCTTTATCACCTCTATCTTCTCTATGTCCACTTAAAGTTTTGTCTTGGTTGCTTCCTTTGCCAACACGTTGGTTTTCACCTGTAGGTATAAATCATCCGCGAAGTCTAGATCTTCTACAGTCTTCTTATCGGTCCACAGTATTCCCGACAGCTCCTCACAGTCTGACGCATAATCCAGTCCACCACAATTAGGAATATCATCGGTGATAATAGACAGCCTTGTCTTACTCCTGTCTTCACATCAAAAGATTCATTATGTTTCCCTTTCTGAATCACTTGACATTTGACATCATCATATAGCTGTTGGATGAAGTTGATAAATGTTTGGCGTGCTCTATGGTGAATAATTCTCACAGTTTTATCGAGCGTTGTTGTGTATTCAGTATATATTAAATTCCATACGATTGTTATTATTCCCACTATAAATTTGAATGAAAATGAGTGTAATGAAAGTGAACCCTATTGGTTTACTTTCACTTTATTTATAATCCATACCCTATCTCTCTTCATCTAGCAATGGTCAATGATGTTATTAAAGCAGTACAAGAAACAGTTGCCTACTATTGTAATCCAAATTTGGGAAGTAAAACTGATGGACAAATGAATGGAGATAATTGTTCACAAGATGCACTACCGTATTCAAAAATTGAAGCGATTGGCTCTTCAGGACGTCAACCACTCCTTGCAGTTGTCCCTCCCTTAACTATTCTACTTTGTGATGGATTACTACCACCTGCAAAACCTATTTTCACCTCTCGACCAAGAACACGTTTATGGCAGTTGGTAGAAGAGAGTTGCAGACCAGGTGAGCAGTTTCTTTTTTGAATAATATTGGAAACAAACTCTGAACAATTTTGTATTTGATTCCCTATTAGTTTATTCGTTTGAAAGTTTACACAGTTAAACGGTGTTTATTTAACAAACTATGTCACATAGTGTGTCTAAATTGCACTTAATAAGTTGACGATCAGTATGATTTGCGTTGTCAAGATTGGGGGAACTGTACCTGCACTTGCTCTTACACGTGGTCCATTAGAATCAATCGGAAAGTTCGTCCGTTTAAAAAGTTTCAGTACCAATGAGCGTTCGCTGAAATAAATTTTAGTACACTACGTGTTGCGCATACCGAGCCGTTGCCTCCCTCGATGGGTAATGTTAGCCGATATAGAATCAGGTTGGAAAAGAGTTTAAAGTGACCAGATCAGAGCCTGGCATCAGCCGGTGAAGTCTTTGACAGTTGGTTTGAATCTAGAACGCAGGGATAGACTGCCTGGTTCGGATCTTCGGGATGCTAATAAACAATGGCTGATGACTATTGGTAATATGGCTGAAAATCGTTCTCAATGGTACAGATGGATTCACTCTGTGTGGTCTTCCATATCTGCTAAACCGTCATGTTTCTTTCATGTTACTTCTCCTTTTCCCTGATTTCCTGCTTTTTATGGTTCTTTTAAGCCTTCTTTTCTCTGTCTTTTGTCTACCGTCGTGTTGTGTATCAGCTTGAACTGCTTCACTTCTGTGCAAAGTTCTATGCTGAAACTCAGTCAGTAAGCCAGTTAGTCATTAATTTATCGGATTTTAGAACAGGAGAAGGTTGGTAGTTGAAGTTGATTTCTTCTTTGAGTATCTAAGCGAGAAAGCACTAGTTTTGTGTCATGTTAATTCCTGGGAGAAGACTGCTTGAGTTTAACATCAAATGACCTATTTGGAGGTGTACTTTGTTGAGTGTCGTTCTCAGGGGAGAACACCTTCTTAGAATAAGTCAAGATGTACAACTTACGAGGCGTTAACTTTTCCTAATTTCTCTCCCACAGAGTGATGGGCAGCATATCTGAGCTGTTGCTTATTAAAGAAAAGTATTTTACTTCTACTACACATTTATTTGCTAGCAGTATGGCTATACACTCAAACCACTACCATGTTGTAAGCAGTTTCCACCATGGTGTTAACTGCTTCCAATCTAACTGGTGTCCAATGCACTTAGGCGTGACAGTGACCAAAAAAGTATCTGAATTCTTGGGATTCAAAGTCATATATGCTTGATTATGAAGAGTGCACTCGAGAAAACCAGGAGGGTCTCAAATCTGGTTAATGATAGCTCATTGATCAAATCTTCACTTTTTGGCAGGTTATGCAACAGAAATGCCCTCCAATGCCCTACATTTACCTCATTTCTTTATGTCCATCATGATGTTTCAAGAATTTACTTAAACTAGTGCACTTCTGTTCTGTTTGAATATTGATTTATCAGCCAGTCATGGTAATATATTTCAGAAATAAAGACTGAGAAAGACCATTACGATCAAACTTCTATAAAAACCTCCGTGAAATTTTTATGGTAATACAGTTGGTGTAATACATTCTCCTTACGGTCCGAAGAGATATGACTCCATTGGCTTAAGGACCTAGATTTCAGCCAACAGGTCATGGGTTCAAGCCCATCCTCCCTTCACCTGAACAACTGGGTAATATCATTAGCCTGGCCTGTAATTGTATTCAAACAGACACAACTGTTGGAAATAAATGACATGAAAATGCCACAGATGTTTGAATGCTGGTTTCTCCGTTCACTACCTTGCTTTAGATGGAACAACACATGGTGGTGAATCATGTTCAGATTGTATTTAGTGTTACGTAACAAGGAGATATTAGTTTTACTGGGTGGAAAATATTCACCAGTCTAGATGTCGAACTGTTGTCTTCCCCCATGAGGAGTGTATGCTTTAGTTTGGCCGATGCATGGAGTCTGATGGCTGTCGATTTGATTAGAACCATGTAGACTGTGTATCTGATTTCCTTGGGGTACTCTGGTTGAAGACACTTGTTTGTAGGGCTACGAATTGCTCACATTTTCAAATTGCTAATTATTCACTTAACTTCGTGTATGTATCCCTTCTGTCACATACACACATGTTTGTGTAAAGCTCTTCAGTGTGTGTGTGTGTGTGTGATATTTTTGTCAGTGGTTACATGTCGCTGAAAACGAAGTTAGTAGTACATTGGGTGTCATTTACTAGTCAACAATTATAAGTTTACAGGATTTTCATCATGAGCTGACATTAGTTAGAGAACCATTGGAAAACCTGGGAGTACTGGACAGCTGTGTCGTCCTAGTTTGGGACTCTTCAGCACCCACCGGGGTTCGAACCCAGGACCTTCTGGTTACAAGGCGAGCTAGTATACCATTAAGCCACTGGGACCCGACCCAATGGCCAACCCATGAATTCTAACTTCTGCCAATTCACGACATAGCGCGACCCCTAGCCAAAGTCTTCGGCGGGTATTTGTCCTCACACCCGACCTGCTGCACCCTACTGGTTACGACTTCTCACTAGAACCCCAGGTAACTACCTACCTGAATAGGGCAAGTCGCTAGTGTGCATCTCATTGATATCAAGTTTTTCCTCCTGCTATTGTTAGTTATTCAACCATCTCTGTGTGCGTTTGTGTGTCAAACATTAGCATCATGAATTTGTACGAAAGTATTGATTAGTGAGACCATCGTAAACTTCTCTTTTTCCCTAGATGTTGTTTGTAGGTAATAAATTTGAAGCGTGTTACTTAGATTTATTTATTTCTAGTTATTTATTTATTCACATGTTACTGCTTTTAATTTCACTCTCCCATTAATATTCATTATGTTAACCAGGCCTTTTAGCCATAAATTTAAATTGTTGTGCATGCATATATATGTATGTGTGTGTATTAGTTCGTTGACCAATATCACTATCATTTGCAAAATGTGTGCGTATGTGTGCGTGCGTGCGCACGCGCTTGTGTGTTATTGCGTGCACACATGTATTCATCTCTTGGTTTACCTCATTTCATTTTCTTCTCTATCGGAAGACTAAATAGTTTTGTGTTAATGACCTAGACCTTTAAATGAATGAATAAATAAATAAATAATATTATGCATATTAACAAAAATGACGTACAGTTAGTTAATGTGAATAGTAGTAGCAGCAGGAGTAGATACCTCTGTTGACGAATCGATTTTACTGTCATCAGGATACTCTACACTGTTGCTTATAATAAGTTCTATCTGGTTACATTATATCTCAGCTGGTATTGTAAATAAGAAACTCTATTTTGAATGTAGATTTTGAAGACTGAAGATCGCTGAACTCTTTATCATTGCCCACCTGTTACGACCCCATCAGGGATCGAACCTAGGACCTTGAAGTTAAGACACCAAGTCCGCTGATCATTCAGCCAGTTGGTTGGCGGAATTCTAATATCTATTAATTGGTGAATAATATCCACTTCACCTTGACATAGTGGTTCCTACTGGTCATTACTTCTCACTACACTGCTTCAGGATATATCCGTCTCCTACTGAAGAGTCTCCAACTAGGACGAAGCAGTTGTTCAGTGCTCTCTGGTTTCCAATGATCTCTCTAACTGATGTTAATTCGTGACGAAATCTACATTCAAATCCCTAGAAAAACCTATAGTCTAAATTATATTTTTACGAGTTGATCACGGATTGATATCAGTTAGAGAACCATTGAAAACCAGGGTGTACTGGACAGCTGTTTCATCCTAGTTTGGGAATCATCAGCAGTACGCGCCCACCGATAATTCTCAAACTAGGATGAAACAGCTGTCCAGTACACCCTGGTTTTCAATGGTTCTCTAACTGATATCAATCCGTGATCAACTCGTAAAAACATAACTAACCCTTACAAACCAAACTATAGAAAATTATATTTTGTTTATACAGTTAGTTGGGAAAATGTGTGGATCATTGGATTCGACATTCGACACTTAAGATTCACATCAGGTTTCGATCTGGACAATTAGGTAGGAGATAACAGGCGCTCATGCCTTAAATGTATTGTGTAGCACATTATCTAGGAAATCTTTTACAGCTATTATAACAGTTACTGTTATGCCTTATTCTATATCACTATGCTTAATTATGGTTGATTTCCTTATATATATTATATAGGTGCATTGCCTACCGGTGTAGCTTATCATGTGTTAAATGATGCTATTAGTCAGGTCAAAGCATTGACTAATATTACTTTGGAGAAAACAAAGTTCAGAGCATTTATATGCGCCTGTTTAAAGTAAGTGTCATGTATTACTCGTTTTACAGCTGATTTGTTTTTTTCTTTTTTTGTATTTAAAACACTTTTTAGTTTGATTGGGTTTTTTTTGGGGTGGGGGGAAGGGGGCAACTGTTTAGATGGTAAGTGGTAAATCTGTTAGCAAACGGAGATAGAATTTTAGGTCAATGTTTTTTTATGTGAAGTCCTCATAATCTATGACTACTGTACAACATACTGGCTAAGGGTTTAGGGCATATTAATTTTCAGCTATGGAGAGTGCGTCAGGGGTTCAGTGGTAGAAAACTTGTTAAGCAAGCACGCGTTATGTGCTCCGGGGTTCGATCCCCGTCCGGCACATTAATAAATCTCGCTTAGCAAGTAGTACACCTGACAAACAGTGGAGGTTGGCGTTAACCTAACAACCCCATCCTGTAAGCAAGAACACCACTGATACCGAAAGTTTAGAGCTCAAGCTTGAAGCCCTATGTTCCGCTAGGAACGTAAAGTAATAATTAATTAATATATTTACTGAAGGATTAAAATCAGCATTGGTATTCTAAGAATTGAGCGTTGAAGCTTCTTTTATAAACATCACTTCGTGCTGTAGATTTCCTGTTGCATTATAGTTAGCTGTTTTGCCTTGTTACGTAAACTTTGAAGCTCATATACTATTAGTTTAAATGTATGGATTTCCTTGACGTGGTGGTCGGACTTGCATATATCCAAGTGACTCAACGAGCCAGAACACTAATGTTCCTGAAGATCCTCCCATGACAGAAATGTCGTTTGGATGTTGGTTAGACTAAAACCAGTTACTTTCATAGTGTAAGTTGTTAACACTGTTCTGGGGGGGGGTCTATGGGTGAAGTTGTACTGCTGCTAAATAGGTACGTAACAGCAGTAAGCTGTTACCCTCCGATTAGCAGGATGCCAGTTATTCTGCTCCTCCATTCTGAAGAAGGGGTTATTATTATTGTTTCCTTTAATTCCTAGAGCAACATAGGGCTTCAGTCGTGTGTCTCCATTGCGTTCGGTTCTCTGCTAGAGTTTTCACCTGGCTCCAAGTCTCCCCACACGCTCTCATCTCCTCTTCACATGACCTCCTCCAAGTCATCCTCGCACTGACGACCAACTCGCCGCTTCCCTTTCGGGTTCAACTCGAGGGCTTGTCTAGTGATGTCTCTTGATGGTTTCCTCAGAGTATGGCCAATTCATCTCCATTTCTTCCTGCTTATTTGTTGCACAATCGGTTCCTGGTTGGTTCGCTCATTGCCAGAGATCTCTGTCGCTGATCTTTTCTGGCCGGCCATCTGATCTTGAGTATTGAGAGAAGACGACTGTCAATGAAGGTCTGTAGTTTGTTTGAGATGTTCTTCATGACGCGCAGTGCAAGTCTCTGATCCGTATAGTAGCACTGAATTCACATTGGAGTTGAAAATCCGGATCTTATTTTTCATACTGAGTGCTGTTGACCTCCACACAGACTTGAGAGTGATGAAAGCTTGTCTTGCTTTTCCGATTCTTGCTTTGATATCCTCGTCAGTTCCTTCAGCCTGTAGTTAAAACGATGCTTCCCAGGTAGGCAGAAGAAGGGGTTACAAAAGGTCAATTCTGAGAACTATATATCCCCTTTTGGTTCGTGGTTGTCCGTAGCTGGCAGCAAAATCTTAATACGGACACAACTCCAAAATCCACTTGAAACAGGCAAAAATTCATTGAAAACGTCCATTGTAGTGCGATTTCCTCATATGAGAGAGTTATCAATCCACTGATATAAGAAACTCTTGGTCAAATTAAATTATACAGCATACATGTGTAAATGAGAAACCCTCCTATTGATGCTACTATTGTTCATTGTGACTAGTTTATTTCTGATTGGATCATACATCTACAGATACTGTTCTCAGTTCCATGTATTTGCAAACATTGTGATCTCTGGTACACAGTCTGAACATATGAATACTTTTTAAAGAATATCTTTCACTATAAATATAACGACATTTAATTTATATTGGGTGTTTTTTTCTCTTTAGTGCAAAAGCTTTACCAATGTGGTTGAATGCACTTGTCGCCAATGATACATTACTTCGCAGATTCTACTGTGAAGATGCATTCATTCGTCAATGTCGTTCTGGTCAACGTGAATTACACGCTGATCTAATGACACATTTAGAACAATTGTTAGCATTTCCTTTCAATTTAGACTTATCAATTGAAGTACGTAAACCATTAGTTGATCCACATATAACAACAACAACAACAACCCCAACAAACAATAATCTGATAAAATCATCTGTTCCACCTACAACACAAATACCGACAAATAATAAACAGCCTCAATCGCATGGAGGTGAATCGGTACCATCGTCAAATAATAAAGTAAGATGGTAGTATTTGTGTTTAGATTAATTTGTATTTTCCGCGGATTGATTATGTTGGACAGAAAAACCTCCGTTTTTGTTGACACGTTGGCGCTTATTACTGACACTTCAACGATGTCTTAAGATTTGAGTAAAGCTATTTTGGTTCTCATTGCCTACTGGGTAATTCTTTGGCGTTTGAAGTTATGGGTACAGGTGTCGGGTCTCACTACTGGGAATGCTTGCACATGCAGTTGACGGGTCCCGGATAGAACGAAACACACAACCTAGGTTCCTCTGCTTGTCACTATCGACTGAAATAAGAGTGTAGTGTTGATGTTGGATGGTTAGAAGCCATTGGCAAGAAGCTGTGAACCTGAGTTTCGTGCTTGTCAGCACTCGTCAGCAAAGCCTGTCTGCTTTCTTGAAGAGACTCATGTGCCCTCTTAGATTTGAACGCGTGTCATCCAGCTCTGCAGTCAGAAACGTTACCACTGAGGTCTTCGGACCCACGATGGACGTCGTGTAGGACTGTAATGAATACTTTGACTGGTCAATAGGTAGTAATGAATGACATTTGTCTAGTCCTTTGTTCGGTGCAGACTGAATTCTGCCAAGTCGAGTTGCTGATGAGTGCCGAAAAGCATAAAACCTAGGTCCAGGGCTTCTTGCTAATTACCTTCTACAACCTAATATCAATCCAGAGTGCACCGGGATGGCAAGTCACCTAGTATAATAACCACATTGTAAACCTGATTGATGTAATTCAGTCCGCGTCAAACCAAGGACTAGACGCATAACATTGGTTGCTATCAAGTGTCCAATCAAAGTAAGATAGTGGCATATTTGTGTATTCTCTACTGATAGTTAAGCTATGTATTCTGTTGGCTTAAGGTTTTTAAAGATTGTATTTTTGAACTATAAATTGCTACATAATTGCCTGCTATAACGTAGAAACGAGTGTTTCTCTGTGCATCTGGCATATGAACAATAAATGATTAAATTTCTGATTTGAAACCTCGTAGTAACCTACTTATTTGAGTTGCCTCACATGCCAAGTTGCGAATTCAATCGTCATCCTATTATATTAATATATTGGTCTGCCAAGCTAAGATTGTTTCACATAACCTCAATAATATTTCACACCTTAAATCACTGTTCTCATCTAGTTAGCTTTTTTATTATTGTCACCTTACATGCTGTGATGTAAAATGTTGAGCAGTTCGACTTGCCTCTTCTTGTTTAATATCATGTTTGAATTTATTGTTCAAGAATAAGAGTTGATCTGTTTACAATATATCTAAGTATAGATTGTTTAACTGTCCAATTGATTAGTATTTTTGTAGGGGAGGATATTTACCTGCTGAATCCTCTTTTATGAAGTAAATAATAAGATAATAGATATTAATTGTCAATGATTTTGGGATAAACTATTTTTGACAACATGGTCATATGATTTTGATTATATTATGATGATATTAGCAGTTTGTGCCTTTTGTATACATTATCCCTAATGTCCCACTACCATGTAGCTGGACAATTAAATGGTACGCATATGATTGATTATATTGCATGCAGACATTTCTAACAGTTAGTTTCTAGGGATTTGATTTGTTTCGAGTTCGATCACGAGTTGTGATTAGTTAAAGAACAATTGGGGAACCAGCTGTTTAGTCCTAGTTTAGGACGCTTCATCAGTATATACCCACCGCCAGGGTTCGAACCCAGGACCTTCAAGTAGTGGGAATTAAGCCATTCACTCACTGGAACCCGATCCCATGACCCATTAATCTCAATTTCTACTAATTTTTATGATTCATGGGTCCCATTGGTTGAATGGTCTACGATCTCGTCTTGTAACTAGAAGGTCTTGGGTTCGACTCGGGTTGGTGCATACTGATGAAGAGTCCCAAAGTAGTATGAAACAACTGTTTAGTACTGCTTGGTTTTCCATTGGTTCTGTGACTGTTATCATCTCGTGACCAAATTTGAAGCATGCGGATATCTTTTCCATCCTCTGGTCGTGTCTTTTAAGCTGATCCGAAAGGTATCTCTGTAGCTTATTTTTTTTTCCATCACGTTCCCCAGTGGAACATAGGGCTTCAAGCTAGTGGCTTGAAGTTTCTGTAGCAGTGTTTATTTTTACAGGATGGGGTTGCTAGCCTCATGCCCAACCTTTCCTCTTCACCAGCTTTATTTCTGGCTTAGCGAAGTAAAGGAGTATGTCGGCTGGGATCGAACTCCGGACCATGTGCATGTTCGGCGAGCGTCCTAACAGCTATATCACCGACGCACTTCTGTAGCTCATAGAAGTGAATTATCTAACTAATCGGAAGTAAACTCAGCGCACGGAGAAGTAGGTAATCTAGCCTCTAATGGCGTTGTCTTCACCAGACGGAAAGGCAGCGATCGGCTGCTGTTTCATTTGTAAAGGTGAAAGGGGAACTAAAATTTCTTGATTACCTACTCGTTTTTAACCATATGTTGTCTTTAAAGGTGTGCTTCCACTCAATATCAACTAGTTGTACAGTGTTACTTATAACCTAATCAGAAGGGAATGATTATAGTGTAACATTGTAGATAATTAGATGATGGCTGAATTCACATACTCTTAATAGGTAGTATTATTTACTCTGATTAACTCTCAGTTCGTTACTTTATATTTCCTTTCCAGACAACATTACGTTCAAATATTCCTCCTGCTACAGTTGTCACACGTCGACAAATGATTAATTTAAATGGTAATTCTAGCAGTCGTATTCCATCAGCATCATCAATCCCGTCAACAGTTTCAGGAAATTCCACGACTAATAATACATCAACGTCTAATAATCATTGTTATTCTCAACATCATTTGCCTACACAACGCCCTATGCCGTCAAGATTACCATCTGCTTCAAATTCTGTGAAACACAGTACACGCTCGAGTACTATTGATAATATTGATTCCAAGTCAAGTAATCATAATACTACTACTACTACTAATAATAATATATCAAATGAAACAACTGGTCTTGTTCAGCCTAAATCATATAGTGCAATAAATTCAGATAATCAAGTGAATTCTCAAGTACGTGGTCGATTAAAAACTGCCTTTTCAAATCTACGCCGTAGTAATGCTTCACATGTCCCGAAGTCGAATACACGTACTCCGAATACACCATCTAACACTCCTGCGCCTAATACAACAACAACAACTGCTGCTGCTGCTGCTGTTAATAATGGTAGCAATAAAACAACTTCTGCTCATGCTAATGTATCACGTCCCTCAGAAAATGCTAAAACAAATAGTACAAAAAATCATTTACTACAGAATAATAAATCATCATCTTCAGCGTCATCAAATTCCAATTCTTCGTCAACAGGTGGTGGCGGCGGCAGCGGCAACGGAGGAGGAGGAGGAGGAACACGTCGTTAACTTGATCGCATTAATTGTTAACCACTTGTTTGCCCCTCTCTCCCTCTATATCTCTCTTCTGTTGTTTTCCACTGTATTATAATTAAGAAGTGTAATAAACTGATAAAGGGAAAATTTCCCTCTATTATTATTATTATTATAAAAGACAATAACCCGGTATAGCATTTATACGACTTGACAATTAATTAATCAATTAAGTATCTTCCATGGCTTCTTGTTTTTTTATTTGTCCAATGTTTGTGACTCTTCAATTCTCCTCATTTTGAAAGGAAAAGCAAACTATTCTTCCCTTAAAGCTTCATGGTCTTCTGTGTTCAGTGTTTTGTTTGTTTTTTTTGCAGTCAGAATGAAAGTTTTTCAGGGTTCTGTTGAATGTGTAAACAATTCAGTATTATATGTATGACACGAGTGTAATCACAATAACGTGTATGCATATATATACACATACATGCATAAGGTCTTTATTCTCACCGTGTCACTTTATCATAATCCTGATAACAATTCGAATCTCAGTCTGATTTCTTCTACTCTCCCCCCCCTTCCTTTTCACCTTCTTTCTCTGTGTGTGTATTTTATTGTTATTCAACTCTTGTAATCTGCATTTATTTGTATTTTACAGATTATGGAGACAAACGAAATCACTAGCAGCCTTTCTTTTTCTTCCTTTCCCATCATCTGTTTAACTTCACGTCTGGTTTGTTTATGATTCACACACTGTGGGAGGAGAATGATTAGTCTACTTCTTTCTTTCTTTTTTTTAAGAAAAAATTCATTTATTTATTATTTTTGTTGTTGTTGCATTCTTGTAGACATTGTCTTTTCTCTCTTTCTCTCTCACTCCCTCTGTCTCTTCTCTACAAAAAACAGAATGTTTGCGCCAAAAATTCTTGCTTCCTTTTTACTTCTTTGATTCTCATTATTATTATTACATGGAAGCTATAGATGGTGACTTTGTGTCTGTGTGAGCGTGTGTGCGTGTGTCTATGTTTGCGTCATATGGTGGGAGGAGTGGAGTGAGAGGCGTCTGTGTATATGTATGTACACCTGAAGAGGATGTGATTAATCCACGCTCTTTTTTTATGTTCTTTCCTGCTTTTAACCAAGTGTTTATTGATAATATAATATGAGAATCAATCATGACATTTGATCTGTTTTACAGTCAGTATATAATGTACTTACTTACTTACGTACTTACTTGCTTACTGACCGTGTAGTTATGATTCCTTCAAGCACATATGTGAATAAAACTGATGGTGATACTAATAATAATAACAACATTTCGTAAATATCACGATGTTGTTTCAGTTGTTGTTGTTGTTACAATATTGGCTTTCTTCACCCCCGCCCCCTTGTTTTCATTGTGTTTTCTATTTTGCTTAGTCATCATGGGTATTATTTTGAACATAATTTATAATAGTAATTTGTGCCAGTCTCGCACACATTCTTGCTTTATTTTCTTTTTTTCTTTGTCTTTGTGTCAATGAATGATTCATGCTATTCCATCTGTTGCTGTTGTTGTTGCTGTCGTTATTGTTGCCTTTCTTTTCCATCCTCTTTTTTTTCTCTTGTCTGTTTTGATTCTTCCACAGTATTGATCTCTCTATTCAACAACTGTGTTCAGCTGTGGTTCTTACTTTCCTATGGTTACCTCTGTTGGAGTTTATCTCTGTGTTGTTAATAAAATAGGTGCTTTTGTGTATACATTTTAAAATTCTTTTTTGTTCTGTTCTACTGTTTTTACTAAAAACATTTTATCATTTCTTTTTGTGCACGAGTTATCACTTATCACCTACCACACATGAGCAATAATCAACTGATCTTATTTAAACACTTTTTGAAGAGGTCATTATTATTCTTATTATGATTATTACCGTTAGGAAAAATGTTCTCTTTCTTCTGTGTTCAAAATGCAATAAAAACAAACAACAGTTTAGTTTTTCTCACAACAAAAAAAAACACGAAAGAAAACAAACATCATACCCCTTATTTATAGAGAAAAATAAGAACAATGTTGACGTTGTCAACATAGTTAGCATAGTGCTACACAGCTACTTTTCTGCGTTTGTTTCCACGTACTGTTTTTTTCCCTGTATAACTTGTCTTTCAATTGTCTCCAAGTCGACATACGTATATATATGCATATATGCGTCGCTGAAATTCAGTAGTATATGACATGAAGTGTGTGTTATGTCATTACTATACATATATTTATTTATACATGCGCCTATTGAGACAGTTAGTCTGTCTATATTCTCTTTTATTGTTTTCCTTTTCTTCATGCAGCGGTTTTTTAATTTGGGTTTTTCTCTGTATCAACTTTCTTATGTATTTATGCCTCTTTAAAGGTTTATCTATATATATATAAAATGTATATTTTGTTTCTTGTTCAATAATAAATATCCTTTAACTGCTTCAAAAATTTACTCAATTGATCATTTATTCATTTGTGCGTTTTGTTATCTAGAGAGTTATTTCATCACTACTTTTTACGTTCATTTATCTTTTTTCCCTGTTGGCAATATTGTTTTTGTGTTGTTTTTTTAAAAAAAATATTGATTTTGTTTGGTTTATTACTTCTCTTTTGGATAAAAATGCATATATACATAAATATGTAGAGAGAGAGGTACTCTCTTTTCTTCTGTATTCCTCTCATTTTATTTGTTCACTCTTTAGCCCTTTAATGGTGGATTTACACTAACACCACCACCATCAACAACAACCACAAACCACAAAAAGAAATAAGTAGAAGTATATCTCCATGCTGTGCCTAAATTTTTTATCACTTCTGCATTACGCCAAAAAAGGAAGTGTCTTGAGAAGTATACAGCAATAACCGTCATCTTGATTAAAATCATGCTTATTATTATTATTACTATTGATCTGTTTATTTTGTTTGTCTCTTTGTGTGTGTGTATAATTCAAGTGAGACGAAGCGTCTTTTTTCTCCCTTGTTCACAAATTTGCACTCTTTATTGATCTGTTGATCTTTGTATACATACTTTCTCTCTTTTATCTTCACTTGTCCATCTTATTTATCTCAATATACTGATACTCTATGAAGTGGGATATTCTCTTCGTGTGTCCGTGCGTGCGTGCCGTTAATTTTGAAATTTCCAGGCGAAAATTGTCGACTGATTCACTTCATTCTTTCAACAACAAACAAATGTTATCAAATTATCTCAATTTGAGTTATATTTAATCATAATAACTGTTTGTTTCTTTGTTTAATTTGTATTAGTGATATTGTGACGTTGACAATGTTGATAAATATAATCATGATGATATAATGATTACTCCTTTTATCAAATAAATAAACTATATTATACACAAATCCAATTTTCTTTTCTTTTCTTTGTTTTTTTGTTTCTCTGCTTTATATCAATGCTTAAAGCTTAAGCAAACAACAGCTGAATTGTTTGTGTCAATTGTATGCTTGTGTGTGTGTTTGTGTGATCATATTTATTTAACACTTGCTACTGCTAAAAACACACAAAATAATTACGCGCCAATGTAGATAGATTGTTCACGCCATATATGTTTATGCATAACTCATATATAGTAGTCGAGATATATACGGATATATATATATATTTTCAAGTAGTAGTTTCGTAGGGATTTGGTTTGATTGGATGGCGAATTTCATCATAAGTTGACATCAGTAAGAGAACCACTGGAAACCTGTTTTGTCCTAGTTTGGGACCCTTCAGCGGCACGCACCTACCGGCGTACTGCTGTCCAGTACTCCCAGGTTTTCCAGTGGTTCTCTTACTCTGATGTCAGCTCATGATTTCATCTTTTGTTTACTCTTAATGGCGGAAAATCAAATTCTGAATTGTCTTTACTGGTTTACATTTGATTTTCAAGAGTCTGGTTTATAAGGATTAGATTGGTTTATACAAGTTTGACCACGGATTGATATCAGTTAGAGAACCATTGAAACCACCAGGGAGTACTGGACAGCTGTTTCCGCCTCCTAGTGTGGGAATCATTGGCAGTACGCACCTACCGACAGGGTTCGGACCCAGGACCTTCAGGTTACAAGGCAAGTTCGTATACTATTCATCGACTGGGACCCGATTCAATGGCCACTTCATGAATTCTAACTTCTACCAATTCGTGATTATAAAGCGACCACCGACTAACGTCATCGGCGAGAACTCCATCCTCACACATGACGTCTGGATGGACCTCACTGGTCACGACTTCTCACTAGAACTCCAGGAAACTCTGTCCTGTAGCAAGTCACTGCTGCACTTCTGTGCAAAGTTCTATATTGAAACTCAATCACTGAGTGATTCATTAGCCACAGCATAACATAGTACTACTGTTCTATCTAGTATGTTTTAAAGTGTCCTATATAATTCTTCCGCCTATATGTATTATGGTGCATCGATGGCACAGCGATAGAATGCTCGACTACCACGCATGTGGTCCGCGGTTCGATCCCAGGCCGACGCACTCCTTTACCACACTAAACCAGTTATAAGACTGGTGAAGATAGGAGATTGGGCATGAGACTAGCAACCCCATCCTCTAAAAAATCAAAAAAAAATCACCGCCGCTACCGAAACTTCAAGCATGTAACTTGAAGCCTTATGTTCCACTAGGAACGTAAAGGAATAAAAAAAGATATGTATTATGAAACTGGGAAGGTGAATCTATTCGGTCATTCTTGTTTTCATCGGTGTACTGGATTCCAAAAATTTTAAAGTCTTGCGGGACAGGTTTCGATTAATTATCATACCAGTGAATAGAAAAAGGTTAGGAGTCTTCTTGTGATAAATACAAGAGGTTAATTAGCACTTCGATGCCCTTTTCTGAAGTAACAGTGTGCACCATTTGGTATTGGCGCACAGGGGAACGATAGACTTGTTGTGATGTTCATAATCAGCAGTGACATTCGTAGAAATTGTGTTTGCAAGTGTTAGTGAATGCCTCCCATTTACATTTGGTTGTAGATCAGCTGCTGTGGTGTCTCCATTGCTTTGCTCAGATCCAGTAAATTATCAGTTGTCTTTTGACAACGATTGCCTCGCATTTTCATACTCTGAAGAGACGTTGATAGTACTTACTGTAAGGGAGTTTTAATTTATACTTGGAGATCTGTTTTGGTCTCCTTGCATCTCCCTACCTGTTCAGCTTGTTATATATTGTTGTTGAACTAATTTCATCATTTCATTTGATGAGTCTAACCTTCTAATTCATTCTGGAATATTCTTTAAAAATCTCCACCAAGAAGGGTAACTGTTTTCAAATCACTAACTTAAATTTCACATTTAAAGTGTAATAATGACTTATAGGAGACATCTTACGAAGACGAAAGTATACATATAAGAAATCCTATTTTAGTTGTAACAAACAATAAGCAAATCGTTAATATGGATCAATAAATAGGCACGTGATTGACTGGTTGATCGATTCATTTGTAATATATTTTAGCTTGTGTCAGAAAAATACCCTTTTTTTCGCTGATTGAATGAAATTACAAGTTTTAAGGTTTATTGAAAATTATCTTCTATAAATAGAACAGTCTAAGATTATGATTTTCCACTTCAGTTGCTCGTGTAAACAGCGTTCTTTAGTAGAAGTGGTCTGTATGTATTGACCTATGTTTCCGTTAAATCGTATAAAGAGATTGAGAAGTGTTTCAGTGACTGACTGGTTTCAACATAGAACTTTGCACCGATGTACAGCGGTTCGAGTCGTCACACTTCATTTAGCACACAAAGCAAGAGAAGAATGTAAAAAGAAATGAAAAATAGAGACAGTAAACAGAGATATGAAACAAAAAGAATAGTAATATCGAAGAAAAATACAGTTTAATTGGGTATAATAAGTTCCAAGGAACGATTTTGAACCATATCACCAACTGTCTCCAGCCTTCATTGGTTTTTACCGTCCTGAGGACCCCAAGCCTAAAGTCTTCATCTCCCTAAGTGGCTTAAACTAACTGTTGTGGATTTCATTGACTGATAAAGCCATGTTCCCGTTTGACCACCACTAGCTCTCTCTTTTCCAACCTGATCCTATATCAGTCAGCTAACACTGCCCGTCGAGGAATGTGATGGCTAGGCATACGTAACACGTGTCCTATCCATCTCTCTCAATCGATATAACTTCACAGCTTCGTCGATTGATTTCCCCTCTTTAGCTAACACTCGACAGATGGCTAACCTCAATATTGCTCACCGTATTAAACCTACCACTTAACTTGGCAGTGTTTCAGTTGTCTTCCCGTAACCCGTTACAATATCGAAATTAGTCTTATAAAGGGTATTAGTCGCATACTGGAATCTTTAAATAGTGAAATATCATTTGCCTGTAACAGATCCCGAAGATTTCCCTGTAATTGTTTCTTTCTTTCGCCAGCCTGAAGAATGCATAAATTCCTCAAGCATCACATTTTCAATTAAACCCGTTCATGATAAAGACTCCAGGATATAAAGTCTGTACGACTTTACCAGAGTTGGTTCTCCTGGATGCTTCTCTTCCCTTGATGGCTCACATCTCTCCTTAGTTGATTTTCCTTTAAATTTAAATTTTGAAATCATGGGTATCAGAAAAAAAAACTATTCACTTACCTTAAATGTCAATGTTTAGAACGAAAAGCAGTTTTACAATCATCTGAATATAATAAGTTTTATTTAACTATTTCATCGTTGTCCCCACGCTTGTATTCACTTGAAGTGCACCTTCCCAGGTATTCCATTGTTTTCTATGTGTATGCCAGATGCTGAACAATGCCTTACTGAACTAGTGTTAATCGGAGCCATTCATGCGTGAGTAACAATATCCACAATGTTACATGGATTATTAGCTTAAGTAGTCGGATTGTCAACTGGTAGGTCACAGGTTCGAGTCCCGCTTCACCTACTTTACTCCTCTCAAGACAGTTGTGACACTTAGTCTAAATAAAGTAAGCTTGACATCGGCCTTTACTGAATAATAGATAGCTATACATTTTATTCAATATAAGTAGTCTTAGAAGATGACTTCGTCGAGATAGGAAACGCGAAATTGGGTTTTATTGTCTTCATGATTCAGTGGGTATTTTCTGCATTGATATTACTAAGTTCTTAATAGGTGGCTGGAGGCGATCGGTATAAAGCCTTGTGCCTGTTAGCACTCATCATCAGGGTGTAACTGCAATCTTGAAGGAACTCATGTCCCTCTCCGTTGAGATTCGAACCCACGTCACCCAGTGTTACAGTCAGAGATGTTACTACTGAGCTATTAGGACTCGCGTTTGACTTCCTGTAGAACTGTATAGGATGCCCTGATTGGACACTACCTAATATTATGAGTCCAGTCCTTTGTTTGCTGCAGACTGAATTCTAACAGTCATGCATGACACTAATTAGTATCCTGTCAATGTGCCACTGAGTTCTTTGTAGGATTTTCTAAGCAGGATATGTGCAGCAAACATTTTCACCATTATAATAAGGGTTTATCAGTCTTTTTAACAAGGCGTATAGGTTGTTCAACAAGTAGGACCCATTACTAATATTATGATATTTACATTAGGTATGAGGTTTTTATGGATAGTGGATAGTAACGACTATCTATCATAGTTACTAGATGGCCATCCTATTGAAATCACTGTTTGGTTTCAGTCATCACTGGTCGGATAGTGATCATTTTTGTCCGTGTTGTCGGTTATCTGTTTTCTGTGTTTTCATCATTCACTTATCCTTATCACACCTAAAATGTGGTGAATTAATCATTATCAGCAACCACTTGGAACGCAAAGGAATGTTAACAGGTGGTATTCTGATCTTCTTAAAGATAAACTTCCTGTTTTTCCTCCAAGTAATGAATCGGTGTACAGTTCTGGTAAAAACCTTCTTTGGCTATTCCAAACCTTCTGTCAGATAAACCATTAAACAGGATTCTTCATCTTCAAAATTTCCATTATACCTCTTTGTTCCTTTCTGTTACATCAATTTCCGACTTGATGACAGCGTTCATATGTAGACAAATGTTCAGCTAATGATAAAAGTACGAACTCAAGCTAAACTTCCCGTCTTTGTGTTTCTTAGGTCATTTCAAAAAGTGAATAACATATCTATTATTAGGTGGTACTTCTACTTCTTATCTTCTGGCTTTCATGTTTATGATACATGGTTATTTTGCATGATTTCACAGTACACACTGGGTAGCTAGTGTACGTGTAACGTTTTGAAGCAAATTTACAGGTCGATAAGCATAGGTAGAAGTAGTAAAATCTAATGATATTGCACAGCTCTGATAGCGCCTACACAGATAGAGAAATAATCTTTCTTCATGAATAATTGGATGAATCACTGGACTATTTGAAGATGAATACTATATCTGTCTGTCATTCATCGGTTTAGCTAACTGACTAACTGAGATTGTTATTATACCTTCTTATTGCTTTATGCATTCTTATTGACTTCACTGTTTATCCATTTATCTATCGTATGATTTCTGGTTATTCATGGTAGGCGGTTACAAGTGCTTTTTTCGTTGAGAAGTCTTATTCTATCATCGGACAGTTAGTTACTCAGTGTTTACTTGCTACTCACCTGTTCAGATCCTGTAGAAATAATTGATTGTATTTGGAAATTCTCTTCTCCTTATTTAGTAGTTAAATCGTCATTATTTTACCTGGGGGTTTGATGGAGAATCTATATTCTGTCACGCAGTGACATTACCAGTGAAATTCAAATAGTCTTGTAAACTCTTTTCCTTCCAGACGTCTAAGAAGTATGTACTCACAGAGAGTTGAGCTAGGATCATTAAGCCTGGCAAATCTTTCCATTACTCCAGACTACTGCAATTCTTTTTCATTCTTTTCAAAATCTTTTTTTTTCTGGTTGCAGGATTTCATCATGAGCTGACATTGGTTAGAGAACCATTGGAAAACCAGCTTGGAGTACTGGACAGCCGTTTCGTACTAGTTTGGGACTCCTCATCAGTACGCACCCACCGGGGTTCAAACCCAAGACCACCTGGTTACAAGGCGAGCTCGTATACCAATAAGCCACTGGGACCCGATCCAGTGGGTGCGTACTGTGAAGAGTCCCAAACTAGAACGAAACAGCTGTGCAGTACTCCCAGCTGGTTTTCCAATGCTTCTCTAACCAATGTCAGCTCATGATGAAATCCTGCAACCAACCAACCAAATCCCTACAAAGCAATACTTGAATATCTTTTTTTTTCTAATTCGCTATATTAGTCGTGTATCTTATTCCATTGTAGAAACGTAATAGGGTACATGATCTACCTCTGTATGAGTAGTTTTCTAAACTACTCTATTAGTCTAAACTAAAACTGAATCACAGTTATCCATCTATCTATCTGTCTTTCTTTCAGATTTGAGTTCATCTTATAGGCCATTGAATTGTGAAAGTAGACTTTATCCTTTTATATAAATTGAAACATTCATTATGTTGTCTGGTTTTGTACGTGTTTTTTATTATCACGTACTACTACCCTACCACCTATGAATGTCGTATTTCCTTTCAACATTAAAGCATTCCTAAGACCTACCGCTATTAATCAATAGTTTTTCTCTTGTAATAATTCTCTTTCTCTTATTGTGAATATCATTTCAAGTTTCTCTTTGTATTTGTACTAATGCCGAAGTTTATTATCTGTCTACACTTTAAGAACGTTTAACTAATTTATTTTATTAGGGTCGATGTTTCCTTTTTCAAAAATATCTCTGTTTGACCTTACTAGGACAAGAAAAGAGACTAAGAGATGTAATACTTTAGCGCAAACATTTAACTTTACCGTTTTATATTTATATGTACTGAGTAATCGATTGCCTTAAACAAGTTTAGGGTAGTAGAGTGTGGTGAAAAGTAGACGCATTAACAATGATAATTATATATTTGGTCGTCTTCTGTATTCTTTCGTGTGTTTGTTTTCTTGTTTTTCAGATTAGAGATTGACGTATAAGTCGTCAGTAGTTGTATATAAATGTCTTCTCGTTATCGTTGTTATTGCTTTTCTCAGTCATAATAATAACAACAGTAACTGAAAGGGTTGTGAACACTATGCGAACACCATCAACAGCTGGAAAAAAGCCAAGAAATCAATGTAAGTTAGTTATAAATGATAATAACCATCATTTTATTGAATTCATTGTAATTACATTTTTTTCTTCTGTGTAATACAAAGTTATTTCTTCAAGTGGTATGAAATTTCCAGCGTAGATTGTGTCACGAATCAACATAAGGGAGAAACGGACAGCTGTTTTTTCCTCGTTCAGGATTCTTCAGCATAACCCGTATCTAAATATCAATCACCCGCTAATTTATTGGCTACTGCTTGGATGCCATGAAGTTGTACTAAGAAGTCATACCCAGCGGAGTCCTCCACACTGTCAAGGAGAAGTGGACGCTCATCGAGAGGTATTGGTTGGGAAATAGCTCTATGTCACGAATTCAAGAATTAAATTAGTTCAGCGAAGAGTCTCTTTTCAGCGAATTCATTCACTTAGCTGTACAGTCGCAAATATATACAATTAATTTTGTGTGTGTGTTTGTGTGTACATTAGGTTTGTCAAAATTAAAATCAAAATAACAGTTAGTGTGGGTTGTTGATTACATCATCGAAATAATAAAGAAATTAAAATGTGTGATTAGTAATCAAAGTTGTAACTAAGTGGGGTGAAAATTGGTAAGATGTGAGTAGGGTTACGTAATATAGACATGTTTAGAAAGATTAAATGTTAGTGAAGGAGTATGGAGACAATTATGAAAATAAACTAGATAATAGGTGAAAAGATTGAATGGGTTAGTTACTAAAATTACTATACGAAAATTGCAAAAAAAAATTGATAACAAAATGTTGATGACAGATAAACTTGAAATTAAACCCACGGTAGTAGGAGGGGGTAGAGAAGTTTCTTCTGTGTGCATAAATCAGGCTTTTCTATCCAAATCGCTAAGGCTTCGGCAATACAAAGTATACGGAAGCTTGTCGATTTTGGAAGGCTTCTTTTGACTTTATAGATGACTTTGAACGACTTCTCCTTGCAAATCGATTGACCAGTGTTGAGTATATGCTCAATAATGGCGTTCAATAATGGTCGTTCGATGCGAGTTTTATCTGAAAGAGTTCAAGAACGCTATCCCGCCTGGCTACGGAAACGTAACAACGGAACAATAAGGAGCGCCACTATTGAGCATATACCCAACACTGGTCATTCGATTTGCAAGGAGAAGTCGTTCAAAGTCATCTATAAAGTCAAAAGAAGCCTTCCAAAATCGACAAGCTTCCGTATACTTTGTATTGCCGAAGCCTTAGCGATTTGGATAGAAAAGCCTGATTTATGCACACAGAAGAAACTTCTCCAGCCCCTCCCACTACCGTGGGTTTAATTTCAAGTTTATCTGTCATCAACATTTTGTTATCAATTTTTTTTTGCAATTTTCGTATAATAATTTTTAGTAACTAACCCATTCAATCTTTTCACCTATTATCTAGTTTATTTTCATAATTGTCTCCATACTCCTTCACTAACATTTAATCTTTCTAAACATGTCTATATTACGTAACCCTACTCACATCTTACCAATTTTCACCCCACTTAGTTACAACTTTGATTACTAATCACACATTTTAATTTCTTTATTATTTCGATGATGTAATCAACAACCCACACTAACTGTTATTTTGATTTTAATTTTGACAAACCTAATGTACACACAAACACACACACAAAATTAATTGTATATATTTGCGACTGTACAGCTAAGTGAATGAATTCGCTGAAAAGAGACTCTTCGCTGAACTAATTTGTTCTTATTTCAATGTCCTAATGGGTATTTTTCGCGAATTCAAGAATTATTAAATTCCCACTCAAGTGGCTTAATGGTCAACTAGCTTGGTCTCGTAACTTGAAGGTCCCGGGTTTTGATCCCTAGTAGAGTTGAGGGTGCATATTGCTGAAGAGTCTCAAACAAAGACGAAGCAGTTGTCCAAGTGCTTCTTGATTTTCAGTGATTGTTTGACTGATTTTAGTCTATGAAGACATTTGCACTGAAATTATTTTCAGATCCCTACGAAAACCTATAATCCAGGTATGAAAATTATTTGGAAAGAATCGGTTCATGGCGAAATGACTCTTCTTCTCAAACTGATTAGAACTTTATAGATATGTTCAAAGTTTCTCAAAGTAGATGTTTCAACGAGAAAATAATGTATAATAGGATACATAATGAACATTTTCTATATATCCCGCCAGTGAAATCGTTGAAACAATTAGAGAGTGTATATAGATCGTGAAACGTGATCTAGTGAGTAGTACTCAGTTTAATTCTAAGTGGTATTTTCATTTTTTTGTTATAAAAGAGTAACAAAGGCGTACTTTTCATTTGACTTTGATATTTATGTCAATAAGTTCAAAGGGGTATGTTACAATAGCAACTGAAATAATTCACTACGAATCGGGTTTAAAATAAGGTTTTGCTAATAATTTGAACAAATTTTTGTGGGAGAACGACACTTTGATAGAATAGAGCTTAGCTGATTGTCAGTCTTATGAATCATAGATAATCTAAAAAGGTTTTGAAAGTCAGAGGACTTAGGTTTTAAAGAATCGAACTCCTTTTTATCAATAATAATTATGCTACGAAGTTTGACTAATTTATTTTGTCTTATGTAGTCTCACAGAAACAGTTCAAGTGTGAAGTTAAACAGATCGACTGAACTTTATTTGGTAACTTCAGATGTATTGTCTGATATTCCTTTAATATGCCTTATCAAGTTCATTCTATTAGATGTTCGGATACAATCGGCAGAAAGTCTTAGACTTAGGTTTCGTGCTTGTTGGCACTCATAAGTCAGCAAGGCGTGTTTTCAGCCTTGAAGCAAATCATATTCCTCCCCTCCGAGATTCCAGCCCGTTTCACCCAGTGTTCCAATCAGAGACGTTACCACTGAACCATCCGGGCTGGCGATTGACCTCCTGTAAGACTGTATTAGATACTTTTTATTGGACACTAACTAGTTTCATGTTTCTAGTTAGTATCCATTCACAAGTTCATTCTATTTTGAAGCCCTGATATTATTATTATTACTACTCAATCTGATTCATTTCAAGGGAATCTTGATAAATATGTAACGAACTTATTGCCTGTTGAGATTTCAGTACACGGGGAAAAAGCACTCATTTCTTTCCTGTCCTATTAATCAATACTTCTCGTTTAGTTAGTGATACTTAATTTGAAATGATGAGTGCTAACCAGCACGAAACCTAGGTCAAGCAAGGCTTCCTGCTAATTGCCTCCAATCATCTAATATCATCACAAACAATGTACACCGTGATGGTGAGCTACATAGAATGGTGGTTACATTGCAAACCTGACTGGCAGAATTCAGTCTGCACCAAAGAAAGGACTAGAAACACCACACTAGTTACTAGTGTCCAATCAAATGTTTATAATCATTTGAGTCCTCCAGTTCTTGTATTTCCAGGTGACCAAAGTTAATTTAGTTGATTCAGGTGAAAGGAAAAAAACATTTCCATCCCGTGGCAATTCACAGCCCCAAAAGAACCACTTTGTCGATGTAATATAATTATCCTAAAACCTGATAAAAAGGAATAAAGCTGTCATGATTATACAAGTTAAATATAAATCACTCATGGTGATGACAGCGAATTCTTTGTGGATGTCTCATCTGACGATATTAGTAAATTAGAAGGAAATATTACATGTAATCTAGTATCATAACATGAATTTAATTGATGAAGAAGAATTTAATTCATTTGAGACCGCATACTGACTCTCTAAACCTTTATGAATTACCTAAGATTCATAAAATGGAAAGTTTTACGAAGTTTTTTTATTCTCTCATAAATAAGTTAACAAAATGGTTAGTAATGAGTCCTGTAAGTTCTCATTGTAAGATAATTTTGATGAACTTGTTGTGACTGTATTGTTCACATGAATATGAAGGATAAGTAAAGTGTACTCTCTCGATGAAAGCTTTTCATCAATCACAGTACCTTTAATCAAAACTACTGATAATTGTTTGTGTTTACTAGAAATCTTTTGCTTTCTATTCCCTTAAACATATTTGGTCATAAGAAAAAAAGGGGTAAACAGCAAAGAAAATTTTCTTTTCGATGGTTCATTTTCACATAAGCTATACAATCGTAATTATATTTTTAATAAAGAATTTAGAAGACCAATCAGATACTGGTAAAATTTGTCCACGAAGACGTATTGCGTAATGTAAGGTGTAGTCTAGGCGGGGTGACTAATTGGAAATTAGAAAAGAAGGCAGAAGTTGGCATGACGTGAATAGGTGTGAGAAAATGACTAACCAATATAGTTGTGTAGAGTGGATAAGACCTACTGGAAAAACGATAAAGTATATTTATAAAATCTGTATGAAAACGCGCAATGGTATTAATGAACAGTAGTAGAGTGATGGTAAAATTAGGATGAGAATAATAACAATTATAATAAAAGTAAACTTACATAATAAAAGGAGGACGTTACTCTGGCCACGGTAGAACGAGGGAATGTATGTGGTGCTTTTGAATGCAGAGTTCTGGTTTCATATGTATTTAAAAAAATGTTGAATCGGTTGTAGGATTTCATCATAAGCTAACATCAATTAGAGAACCTTTGGAAAACCAGCATGGGAGTACTGTTTCGTCCTAGTTTGGGACTCCATCAGTACGCTCCCACACTGCGGGTTTCGAAACCAGGACCTTCTTATTACAAGGCGAGCTCGTAGACCATTAAGCCACTGGGACCTATCCAATGGCCCATTAGTTCTAACTTCTGCCAATTCATGACATAGCGCGACCACTTCACAATGTCTTCTTCGATGAGTTACTGCCCCATCTTTAACCTGCTGTATCCTACTGGTCATGGTTTCCCAATAGAACGCCAGGTCTACGAGCTCGTCTAGTAACCAGAAGGTCCTGAGTTTGAGTTCAGCAGTGTAGATGCGTACTGATGAAGAGTCCCAAACTAGGACGATACGGCTGGATGTCCAGTACCTTCAGGTTTTCCAATGGTTCTCTAACTGATGTCAGCTTGTGACGAAATTCTCCAACCAATCAAACAAAATCCCCA